TGAAGTGGCCAAAAGCAGACATCCTGTCTTGTTCTTGATCTTAGGGAGAAAGTTTTTAGTCTTTTACCATTGAATATGCTGTTAGCTTTGGGTTTTTCATATGTAACTTCAATGTGTTGAGGAATTTTCTTTGTATTTCCACTTGTGTTTTGTTTTTATCATGAGTGTTGGGTTTTGTCAAATTATCATGTAGTTTTCCTCTTCATTCTGTTAATGTATGTATTGCTTAATACTCTTATTTGAATCACCCTTGATCTCCTGGGATAAATCCCACCTGGCCAGTTAGTCATGGCATATAATCCCTTTAATATATTGCTGGATTTGATGTGCTAGTATTTTTTTTTTAATATGTTTTTATTGATTTCTTTTGAGAGAGGAAGAGAGAGATAGAAACATCCATGTGAGAGACATACATCTCTCTACTGCCTCCTGCAGACCTCCTGCTGGAGATTAAGCCCGCAACCTGGGTGTGTACCCTGACTGGGAATTGAGCTGGGACCTCTCAGGCCAATGGTCAATGCTCAAGCCACTGAACCACACTGGTTGGGCTAATTTAATCTTTTTTACTCATTATAGATCTGTTGAGATTTTCTATTTCTTCTTGAGTCACTTTTGGAAATTTGTGTGTTTCTAAAATTTTGTTTATTCCACCTAGGCTATCCAATTTGTTGGCTTACTATTTTCATATATTCTCTTATAATTCTTTTTATGTCTGTATATTTAGTAGTAATGTCCCTCCTTTTATTTATAATTTTAGTCATTTGAATCTTCTTTTTCTTAGTCATTCTAGCTAACAGTTTGTTGATTTTATTGATCTTTTATTTTTATTTTTTCTTTATTGATTTTTAGAGAGAGAGGAAGGGAGAGGGAGAGATAGATAGAAATATTGATGAGAGACAACATTGATTGGCCACCTCCTGCATGCCCCGCACTGGGGATTGGGCCCACAACCTGGGCATGTGCCCTGACCAAGAATGGAACCGGTAACCTCTTGGCACATGGGTCGGCGCTCAACCACTGAGCCACACAGGCCGGGCTTTATTGATCTTTTCAAAGAATCAACTTTTAGTTCTTTTTCTGTATTATTTTTCTATGCTCAATTTTATAGTTTATCTCCACTCTGAAGTTACTTTCTTCTGCTAGCTTTGGGTTTAGTTTGCTCCTGTTTTCTACTTTAAGGTCCTTAAGGTGTACAATTAGGTTATTAATTTGAGATCTTTCTTCTTCTTCTTTTTTTTTTTTTATCCTCACCCCGAGGACATTTTCCCATTTTTTTGTTCAGGTAGAGTGGGAGGGAGAGAGAGGAACAGAGAGAGAGAGAGAGATACATCAATGTGAAAGGAACACATTGAGTGGCTGCCACCAGCACGACCGACCAGGGCCGGGGACAAACTGCAACCGAGGTATGCGCCCTTAGCGGGAACCGAACCCGGGTCTCTCAGGACCGCAGGCCGACGCTCTAACCGCTGAGCCAAACTGGCCAGGGCTAGATCTTTCTTCTTAAATGTAGGCGTTTACAGCCCTAAATATCCTCTTAGCACTGCTTTCAGTGCATCCCAAACATTTTGGTATATTGTGTTTTCTATTTTTGTTTTTGTTTGTTTGTTTTATCCTCACCCGAGGACATTTTTGCATTTATTTTCAGATAGAGTGGGAGGGAGAGAGGGGAGAGAGAGAGAGAGAAACATTGATGTGAAGAGAGACATCGAGTGGTTGCCACCCACACAACCCCAACCGGGCCAGGGATAAACTGCAACTGAGGTATGTGCCCTTAGCAGGAACCGAACCCGGGACTCTCTGGTCCACGGGCCAAAGCTCTAACTGCTAAGCCAAACCGGCCAGGGCTGTTATTGTTTTTTAATTTTTTTTTCTTTATTGATTTTAGAGTGAGAGGAAGGGAGAGGGAGAGATAGAAACATCAGTGAGAGAGAATATCAACTGGCCACCTCCTGCATGCCCCTCACTGAGGATTTGGCCCACAACCTGGGCATATGCCCTGACTGACCAGGAATCGAACCAGTGGCCCTTCTTGGTGCATGAGTCTACGCTCAACCACTGAGCTACACCCGCTGGGCTGTTTTTGTTTTCATTCACCTCGAGGTATATTGTAATTGCCCTTAAGTTAATATCCTTGTGGTTGGTTGTTGGTAGCGATGTTTTAAAATTATTTTTTTTCACCCCGGGGCCGGTGTGGCTCAGTGGTTGAGCGTTGACCCTGGTTCAATTCCTGGTCAGGGCACATGCCCAAGTTGTGGGCCAGATCCCCGGCGGGAGGCATGCAGGATGCGGCCAATTGATGTTTCTCTCTCTCTCTCTCCCTCCTTCTTCATTCCTCTCTTTCTAAATTCAATAAATAAATAAAAATTTTTAATGTTATTTTTCAGTATTTTTTGATGTTATATACTGAAAGAATATGCCTTGCATTATAGTTTTTTGTTTTTGTTTTTCTGGGTGCAGTTTTGCACCTTATTTTTTTATATATATACAGCATTATTGATTTTAATTTTAGTGACTGTTTTTTTTCCCTCTAGAAGTTCAAGTTGTGTTTTTTTTTTCAAGTATCCCTAGTTGTTTTTGATTGTATATGCTTTTGATTCCTTTTAAGTCTTTGTTTTAAACATATTGTTCTTATTTTATCATAGTTCTGTAATCTAGATATCTAACCCTTTGTTTGATATATCCTCCCATAGCACCTATGCTAAATTATTTTAATGTGTGTTTTATCATTTTTGCTTGTATACTAATATTTAGTGGGGCTTTGCCCTGGTCGATTTGGCTCAGCGGTTGGATCATTGGCTTGCGGACCAGAGAGTCCCGGGTTCAGTTCCTGCTAGGGGCATGTACCAAAAAAAATATTTAGTGGGGTTTTAATTATGGAAATCCATGAGGCCTGGGTTGAGGGCTTTAAGCTGGTGAACATTTCATCAATCTACCTGAGTGACAGGCACTAGTGCTTCAAATGATCAAAGGAACTTGTCCCATACCCATCAAACTGGAATGCAAGCTCCATGAAATCAGGGGTCTTTTTTTGGTTCATTGATGTCTCCCAAATTGTCTACTATAGTGTATAGCACATACCAGGTATACTGTCTATATTTGTTGAACTGAATTTATCATCTTTATGCTGGTGGGTGGATTAATTTTGACTAAATTGCTGTTTCATTGAAGAAGTAATGAGGGACTATTGTAAATACTTTTTATTAGTAATGATTTTCTTTCCTTTTTTTTTTTTTTTTTTTTTTAATCCTTACCCGAGAACATTTTTTTACTTTTTGTTCAGGTAGAGTGAGGGGGGAGAGAGGAAGAGAGAGAGAGAGAGAAATATCGATGTGAAAGGGACACATCAAGTGGCTGCCACCCGCACGACCCAACGAGGGCTGGGGGCAAACTGCAACCAAGGTATGTGCCCTTAGCAGGAACTGAGCCTGGGTCTCTCCGAACTGCAGGCCGATGCTCTAACTTTGATGCTCTAACTTTGATGCTCAAACCTGCCAGGGCTCCTTTTTTTTTTTGCCTATTCTAGTAACATGATTTTGACCCCATGCTGAGCAAAAAGATAATTCTAGTCCTCTATGATAAATGAGCATTTGCCTCCTCCCTGAATTTGTTTTTGTTTCAGAGACCTCACCTTAGTTGATTGGGGTCTCTGAGCTTTTAATTTGTTTTTCACAAATACTCAAATTTCTCTTTTGGGAGGGTGAGAAAATGTTTTTTATTTTTTTTTAAATAAAAATGGATTAAGCTTTGAAGGTAAAAAAAATTGCTTTTCAAATGATACAGTTTAGTAGTGAGAATTTAGGTAACCATCAAACATAAGGAATGATATGTAAAAAGTAGAAAAAATTAGCAAAGAGGAAACTTTTGTGGGTTTTTTCGTTTTGTTTTGTTTTTACACTAACTGTGGGCAGGAGAAAATCCACCCATGTTGAGAGTATAACTTAATGGTTAATTTATTTTTCATTTTCGTGTAATACTCATTAAATTATTTTAAAATGAAATTTAAATGATATTATTTAGCAGATCTTGGCATTATTTTTTTCTTTACTTTTTTTCTTTACTTTTTTTCTTTATTGATTTTAGAGAAAGAGGAAGGGAGAGGGAGAGAGAGAGATAGAAACATCAATTGGCTGCCTCCAGCACACCCCTCACTGGGGATTTAGCCTACAACCTGGGCATGTCCCCTGACCAGGAATCGAACTGGCGACCTCCTGGTGCATGGGTTGATGCTCAACAGTGAGCCACACTGGCCAGGCATCTTGGGATTATTTTTTAAAGATATTAAAGAAGAGATTTAACTATTTGATGTGATAACATTATCAATAAGTTTGGTAGACTTCTTATTTATTTGGCATGATATAAATTAGGTGGAATATGGATGTGAGCAGAAATAAAATTGACTCCTTAAGTATATTGAAGTTATAAAGAGCCTTTTTTCTTTTTCTTTTTCTTTTTTTTGTAATCCTCATCCGAGGACATTTTTTTTTTCCATTTTTTGTACAGACAGAGTGGGAGGGAGAGAGAGGAAGAGAGAGAGAGGGAAACATCGATGTGAAAGGGACATATTGAGTGGTCGCCACCCGCACGACCAACCAGGGCCGGGGACAAACTGCAACCGAGGTACATGCCCTTAGTGGGAACCGAACCCGGGTCTCTCCGGACCGCAGGCGGATGCTCTAACCGCTGAGCCAAACCGGCCAGGGCTAAAGAGCCTTTTTTCAAAGAGACACGTTATTCTCTATATTGTCTTTGTTTATTGAATTTATTGAGATGACATTGGTTAATAGAATTATATAGGTTTCAGTAGTACAATTCTATAATACATCATCTGTATTCCTCTAATTGTCTTATATGATCATGTTGAACGATCTGTGTTTGATTATGGAAGAGTATGAATTGACCCATCACTCAGTGTTCAGGTGTGAAAGATCTTCTTTGCAAGATGGGAGGATAAAAATGGGGTCATATAACAGTGTGATGACTAAATGTTGTTTCTTTTGCAGTTCCAATTCCTAGTAGATTTGATCGGCGAGTATCAGGTATGTGTTCTCTTTCAAAACATATTGCTAAAATGCTATTTTGAAATAGGATTATCTTATCTAAAAATGAACTGATATTTTTAATGAAAAGTTAACAGCATTCAGAACATTATAAGTCACCTCATTACTTCATTGTATTTCAAGTTCTGAGTATATATGTATATATTTTATATTGCTATAATTTGTTAATTATGTCATTAATATTTTTTATGTTCATAATTATGGCTTCTAAAAACTACTTTTAATATTGCTATTTCTGGTTTTCTAACCTATGCTGTCATTAACTTCTTGCATACATTTTTGAGCCACTTTTCCTCAGTTATAGTGTGGGAGTGGCATTCCCTGGTCAGAGACTAAGCATTGCATTGGCTTTTTCTGTGTATTGCTTTCTAGAGGCAGTGTGTAGAATAGGGTGCAAGGAGATAGATACTGGAAAGGCCTCTTTCCCAAACCATCTCACTAATATGTATGGTGTCTACTCCTTTAGTTTAGATGTAAAATAGTACCCCAGATTGTTTTATTTGGCATTCCTTTGATTATTAACAAAAATGAGTGTTTTCCAAACATGGGAAGTCTATGTTTATTTTTCTATATGGAGCTAGTTTGATAATACTTTGCTTTTTTTTTTTTAATCCTCTCCTGAGGACATTTTTCCATATTTTGTTCAGATAAGAGTGGGAGGGAGTGAGGAGGGGGGGGGGGAGAGAGAGAGAGAGAGAGAAACATCGACGTGAAAGGGACACATCGAGTGGTTGCCACCCGCACGGCCCAACCAGGGCTGGAGACAAACTGCAACTGAGATACATGCCCTTAGCCGGAACCAAACCCAGGTCTCTCTGGACCACAGGCCTACACTCTAACCACTGAGCCAAACCGGCCAGGGCTGCCTTTTTATCTATTATGGTCTAGATTATTTTTGCAAGTTTGAGTAAATTTCTGTCATGATTTTTAACCTTTTGAAAATTTTAATGCAAATTTTTCCACATTGATTGTGCTAATTTATTTTAATTTTGCCATTTTTTATTTACTCAAAATTTGTATTATGTTACTGGTACCTTGAACTGCCTGGCACACAGCAGGCATTCTGCAAATATTTATTGAATATATGCATCCTCTCCTTTTTTTTTATGATTGCTCCTAAGCTGAGAAGGGCCCCCTTTTTTCATAGAGCTGATAAATATATTTTACCAAAAAATTTTTCATGTAATTAAAATATTTGACTTGTGGATACATTCAAAGTTTGTTTATTTTGTTTTTAAAGAAAAGACTTTTATTAGCAAGTTGGAATAACATCTAGAGTTTATTTGGTTGTATAGTTGGGATGTTAATGTGTTTCAGGATTTCTATGCTGAAATCCTGCTGTGTGTGTCACATTCTTTTATATCATCTTGTTCTGGGAATGTTTCTTATCTTTCCAGTTATCCTTTCTGATCTTCAATCCTTTTCTCTGAGAAAATCAGCTCATTTTCTCAGAAAGCCTTTGATAAGGAGGCTCTCTCTACAGAGCATGCAGCTCCTTTTCCCATCCTTTTCTTTTCCCAGGGCATGCGGGCGCCTCCCCTCCCTCTTTCATCCTTCCAGGTGCATCTCTCTCACTCTTTCTTCTAAGCTCTAAGGGCAGGCACTTCTACTACCTCTGTAACTTTCTAAATAAATTTTCTCTTGAATTCTTTCAAGCCAAACTCAAGAACCGAGGTTGCTAAACTGAGGTCTGGCCTAACTCACCGCTAACGTCTGGTGCCGTTTTCAGCCACTAACACGAGCTCCCACAGCCTGCTGCTTCTGCTTTTAGGGCTTCTCAGTGGATGGGAATGAAGCTAGACTGCAGTGGAAACCACTCTTGCTCCTTCCCTGGCCCCATCCTGCTTTCCCCATGCTCCTTCTCCTGGCAGCATGCCCTCAATCAATTGCACAAGAACCCCTATCTCAGGCTCTGCTCTTAGGGAATACAGTCCACAGCAGTTAATTTCACAATTTCAAAGAATGTACTAGTACCAGAACATGTCTGTCCACAATTCCCACAGTTATTTCACTCAGGGCAAAGGAAAAAAAAAAACCTTTGATAATGTTGTACACCAAAGTCTGTTGAAAAGGAGATTGAAGGATGTATTCTTTTTTTTTTTTTATCCTCACCCGAGGATGTTTTTCCATTTTTTGTACAGATAGAGTGGGAGGGAGAGAGAGGAACAGAGAGAGAGAGAGGAACAGAGAGAGAGAGAGAAACATCGACGTGAAGGGACACATCGAGTGGCTGCCACCCGCACGACCAACCAGGGCCGGGGACAAACTGCAACCGAAGTATGTGCCCTTAGCGGGAACCGAACCCGGGTCTCTCCGGACCACAGGCCGACGCTCTAACCGCTGAGCCAAACTGGCCAGGGCCTCTTTTTTTTTTTTAATTCTCACCCAAGGACATTTTTGCATTCATCTTTCACATAGAGCGAGAGGGAGGAAGAGAGAGAGAGAGAAACATCGATGAGAGAGACACATCAAGTGGTTGCCACCCACATGATCTCAACTGGGGCGGGGGACAAACTGCAACCAAGGTACATGCCCTTATCAGGAACCGAATCTGGGTCTCTGGACCACAGGCTGACACTCAACTGCTGAGCCAAACCGGCCAGGGCTGAAGGATGTATTCTTATGTATAGAGTAATTTACAGAGAGGAAATGGAGAAGAGATTAAGGTTGATGCAAGACCTGTGAGTGATTATCTCCCATTTCTGTTCATCCCTGCCCTACACCCCTTTTTGCCCTTTGAATCTGCAGGACAGATCTCGGAGATGGAGAATATAGTGAAATCTCCTCCAAAGGTCACAGGGCGTTAGTCATGAATTGCTGCTTGGGCTTTCAGTGTGGTTTAGTCTTTGGACTGTGGAAAACTCAGACAAGTACATGTTATTATTCCTCCCCCTTAGATTTTACAGTCTTATTGAAGATTTAAAACTTTCTAATGTTATTCAAATGTTAAGTGAAAATAAAAGATTCTTAAAAGAATCTAAAATGGTTATGCAGGAGAGGGTATGCAGGTTATGCTGTAGCAATAGCTAATACACAGACTATGTGTTAGGTGCACAGTTTTAAGGTCTTTCTCAATGCCTTCCTTGTATTGTTGAATATAATTCATACATTAACACTATGAGGTACATGCTATGATTATCCCCATTGTACAGATGAGGAAATTGGAGCAAAGCAGAGATTAAGTAACTTCCAACAATCGAGGTAATAATGTGCCCAACTTAGCAGAGGTCCTAATTACTACCCTTATCATCTCTAAGGATCCTTGTACTCTCAGCAACTCTTGGTCAATCTTCAGGTAAATCCTCTGAATTCTCAGCTTGTTCTCTGAGTGCAGCCTTCATCTTGTTTTAGTTATCTAATAATCTTCATGTTGTCCCTTTTTATTTCTACATGGATAATTCTTTCAGTGTCTGGCCCTTCTGTTCCTTGATCTCCTCTCTTCCAAGGATCTCATGTTCTACCCTACACTCCCATGGTCATGCTCTGATATGACAAACTCTTTATCACTGATCCTGGTCTTGAGTCACAACCAGCTGTCTTCTCAGCTCCTACTCCAAGCCTGGCAACTCATTGATCTGGCCTTTTTTTCACTATTCATCACTTCCTCTTTACTCATCGTAAATTCCTTTATCAGTGTATTGTTGTGGCGCAAGAGAACCGAGAGACCACCAGAGCCAAATTAAAGCCAAATAGAGAGCAAAGCCAGCTGGCAACTGATCCCGAGTTCTCGGAGACCAGCCTCGAGGCCTCCAAATGTTGTGGCGCAACAGAGTCAAAGAAAGACCACTAGAGAATTGAAATCCAAATAAGAGCTGTTTATTAGCCGTTTAGCCGGCCGGCGTCTGATTCTGAACACCCCTGTGACAGAATCAGAATCAGTCCCAATATACTTTATTACATGCCTTTTATACCTTACAGAAAATAGGATCTTCTTGATATAATGCCTAGGGCTACAGCAATGCTGTATAGAATTAGTTTGCCTTACGGATAATAGGTATTTCAAGGTACATTGGGTCACACTTAGCCCTGAGCTGCACAAACACAATGCAAGCCTAATTCCTTGAGATTGTGGGCAGGTCGAGTCTCTGACTCAAGACCTCTAGGCTCCATGGACTCTGTCAGACATTTAGCTGGCTCCCAACAATTTCTTGGTTCAGGGAGTATTCCAATTTACTGAGGTTATTTTGACTAAACAAGTTCAGCTAGAGGGCATACAGTGACTTTCCCAATCATCAATTATGGAGAAGCACAGTAATTTACCAATCATCAATTATGGGGTTATAAACATGCCAGCACATGAGGACCTCTTGGTGCATGAGTCAGCACTCAACCACTATGCCACACCGGCTGGGCAATAAATAAAAATTTTTTTTTTTTATCCTCATCCGAGGACATTTTTCCATTTTTTGTACAGACTGAGTGGGAGGAAGAGAGAAAGAAGGAAACATCGATGTGAAAGGGACACACCGAGTGGCTGCCACCCGCACGACCATCCAGGGCCGGGGACAAACTGCAACCGAGGTACGTGCCCTTAGCGGGAACTGAACCCGGGTCTCTCCGGACCGCAGGCGGACGCTCTAACCACTGAGCCAAACCGGCCAGGGCAATAAAAAAATTTTTAAAAGTCATCCATCTTTGCCCTGGCCCGTTTGGCTCAGTGGGTTAGAGTGTCAGCCCATGGACCAAAGGGTCTTGAGTTTGATTCTGGCCAAGGGCACCTCAGTTGCAGTTGGATCCCCGGCCCTGGTTGGGATCATGAGAGAGAACATCGATTGGCCGCCTCATGCAGGCCCCCACTGGGGATTTGACCTACAACCTGGGCATGTGTCCTGACCGGGAATTGAATTGGCATCCTCTTGGTGCAGATGCTCAACCAGTGAGCCACACCGGCTGGACTCTAAGAAGACATTTTAAAGTCCTGAACTAAGGAGTAGCAATTGGAGTAGACTGAATAAAGGTCAAATGTGAGGATATTCCTG